GAGGACGACGCCGACGACGCCCGGCGGCGTCGGCACGTCGCGGCCGAGGAGCCGCCGGCCGCGGAAGGCGGTCTGCAGGTCGTCGCCTAAGAGAGTGCGGGGTTTGCCGCTCCCGCGCGCGCGCGCTCGCGCGCGCGACGCCGGCGCCGCACCTTGGCCTTTCACGAGGAGCCGCGCGGCGACGTCCGCGTCGCCGTCGTAGGCGATGTTGCACGGGAGCGACTGCACGTTCGACATCATGGTTTCGGCGCAGACGCGGGTCGTTGTGTGGAACGGGGATCGGCGGCGCTGGCGCTCGAGATTTTGAAAAACAGAGCTCCAGACTCGTTTGGACAAGGTCAATGTAGCCGTCAATGTCGAGCAAAAGCGTCGATATTGAAGCACCATTTCTGCTGGCTGCGCGACCTCAAAGGGTGGGTCGAGGCGACGCCGAGGCCTACGCCGATTGGCCGGACGGCGGCGCCGTTGATGCCCCCCCGGCGCCATACGCCGTCGACGCCCGCGCCCGAAGGGAGCAGCCGCGGCCCCGCGCTGCCCCATAAGGACTCAAAGGCCGAGCCACGGTGTCTCACGCGGTTAAAATGTCAGCGGGGCGGGGCGGGTGGTGCGGCGCGGCGGGCGGCGGGGTGCCGCGGGGTCTCGTGGTCGTGGGCGGGGGTTTTGGCCTTTGGTGTCCGCTCAGGAGCAGTCGAGGCCCGCGGCCTTGAGACGCGCCTCGAGGAGGGCGATCCTCTTGTCCTTCTCGTCGATCTCCTTCTGGAGCGCCGCGGGCGTCTTCATGGGCACGAAGGCCTTGGTCGCGCCGCCCGTCGGCTTCGCGCCGGCGCTGTCCGGGTTGAGCGACATCATGAGGGGCGTCTTCGTGACGCCGGAGAGCCACTCGTCGGCCGTGCAGGACGGGTGGCCGGAGAAGGTGTCCGGGAAGATGTCGTCCTGGAACGCGTCGGACTTGCGGGGCACGATGAAGCTCAGCGGCTCGACGATGCCGTTGCCGTTCTGCGACGTGAGCTTGAGGCACCGCGCGGTCTCGCAGGCCATGACGTTGAGGCCGCGCTTCGGCAGGAAGCAGGAGCCCTTGGCCGCCTGCGTCGAGCGGTACTCCGACAGCGCGAAGGCGAAGGGCTTGTCCTTGGACATCTCGTAGTAGCGGATGTTGCCGTCGCCCTTGCCGCACAGGTAGAGCACCTTCGTGTCGCAGTCGTAGTAGGGCACGATGACGCCCGCCGCCTGGTCGAGGTCGACCTTGTGCACCATCTTCGACAGGTCGCGCACGTCCCAGACCTTGATCTGGCGCTGGGACTGCTTCGTGAAGCCCACGGTCGCGAAGCGGCCTACCAAGTGC